CTCACTTGAGCCCAGGAGTTGGAGGTTGCTGTGAGCTGTAATGCCACGGCACTCTGCCCAGGGTGACAGCTTGAGGCTCTGTCTCAAAAAAATAAAATAAAATAAAATAAAAAGAAAAACTACATTTTTAACTTTAAATTCAATTCTAATCATTAACCAAATAAGGTTGCAAATGAAATAATCCTGCCATTTAATACATTAAAGACTAATGATACAGAACAAAATAAATCCTGTTTTAGAACCCCAATCAAACACCCTGGATAATTAATTCCAGCTGTGGCCAAGTCCCTACCTCACCCAAGCAGCTGCGTGGTCCTGCAGGAGGGGGCTTCTCAGGGATCCCTAGTACCAAGGAGACTCTGGTGGCCTCAGGAAGGGTGCCCATTGTGGCTCTATGCCATTCCTGAAGCTCAGAGTCAGAGGGGTGCCAAGGCCCACACCTCTACTGTGGGGGCCAGGGATCAGGGGTTCGTGCTTGCAGTGGGTCCTTGGAGCATGATGTCACCACCAGGGACAAATATCCAATGAGTTTCAGGATCTCACATCTTATACAGCATTTTGAAGAAGGCACAAGTAACAATTGCATTAGGTCCAAAGAAACTGGTAAAAAGATTGCTCTACATATTTAAAATGGTTAAGAAAAACTTACAAAACTGGCAAGAATAAAATGACAAGACGCTATGAACAACTAAAATGTTTACATATGAAGCTATCAAAGAATCAACACCCCAACACACCTCTGTGTCTGCTGTGTTGTGGCCTTCTGTTTTACTCTGGTATTCTAAATCATGAGGTGATTCTTAAGAATCCTACTTGTAATTTGTCTGCCTCATATGTTGTGGTCCATAAATTATAATGATCTCAATTGCTAGAGTGAGGTCAGAGGGGCCGGACTGTCATAGCTTACTCAACACACTGCTCCACACACAACTGTGTGAGGGATGTTTCTCAGGCACAAGCCCTACAGGACCAAAACCCTGACAAATGCCAGGCTCAAAATACTACAGCGCTGGACAGCCTTTTACGATGGGCCCGTGCCCCCACCTCTGCCTGGTGTGCTCACCCTGTGGGACCTCTTTCCCTCAAGTGTGACAGGGCCCAGTGACACACTTCTGACAAAAGAGAATTGGGCAAAAGTGACAGAACATCCCTTCCATCAGGAGATCAAGGAGCCTAAGACTTCCCTCCGGTTCCTCTTGCTTGACCACTGGCTCCTGCTGGGCTGCCGACAGAGGACCACAGGGAAGGGAACTGAGTTTGCAACCAATGGTGGCCCTCTGTGTTGGGCCTCCTGATGAGAGACAGCCCAGCTGTGAGACCCTGTGCAAAAGGACTCCACTGAGCCACAGAAACTGTAAGATAATAACTGATCATTGGTTTAAGGGACTAAATTTTGGGGTAATTTGTTACATGGCAATATATAAATAACAAAATGCTTAGCACTATCACACCTCTAAAAGTCCAAAAATAGGAAAGAGCCTAATCCAACCCGAATGTTCAGTTTTGTAAGTCTTTTGCAAAATTTCACAAAGTAAGTTTTTAAAATAGTGAAGGATATGTCAAAAGAACAAATCGGAAGTATTGAGTAAAAAGGTCCCAAGTGTGGTCGCATTTGGCAAATAAAAGTTTCTAAGCTAGACCATTCAGGGACACAACTAGGTTAATATTCCATTCTATGAACTGTTAAACTGAAAACCTAAAGTGGTTTTCTCCCAAGTAACCAAGAAGTGAAGTTGTGGCCCAAAAGGAAGTATTGATCTGACCAGCTCAAGCTGGGAGTACATACAGCTCACTTTCAGACCTGCCCTCCTCATAGCCGACTTCCATGTGAGTTTGCAAGCCTGATGCAGGATCCTACTACAGGTGCAGCCCCCTCCTATTCCTGTTCATGCTCACGCTGCACATGGACACACACACTGCCCACTGGCCTGCCAGGCAGCCAGTTAGGGAGCTGGATCCAGGCTCACATGGGCTTGGAACACACCAGACAAGGTTGCTGGGCACACTCAGTAGACTTTCCTAGGCACAGGGCAGAATATGTCACCAGTTCCTCAAGCCTTGGCAGCAGACACACTGCACACTACTCTTCACCACCACTTCTGAAAGGAAAACACTGACAGATGAAAGACTGATTCAAAGGTTTCAGAGAAACCAAGACACCTCCCACCCTAGGACCTTCCAGCACTTCCTTTCCTGGAGTGGAGAAGGTTTGGTGATGCCTGCTCTGACTGCCCTCCCGGGCCCACTGCCTGCCCCCAACACTTCCAGGAGCCCACACTCCCAGGCTGAATTCCCCCCTCCTGTCAGCTCCTGGAATCCCCTGGCCACTGCAAACTCCTCTGCACTCAGGATGGAGGGTATACTCCCATAACCTTGACAGGAGAATCAGAGGGGGGAAGTGCTAGACACTGGCCACAGGGCCAAAACAAGGAGAGGAGAGCAGCCCTGGAGAAGAAGCTAAAGCAGGGTAGGCACAGTGCCAGTCTGAGGCATGGAGCCAGCATGGATTAGGAACCCCACTGAAATTCTGGAGCCAGAAGGATAAGCCTCCAGGTGTGTGCCACTCAGGGTGGTATCTGCTGAAGGTTGAAAGGTCCATGGATTTGGCCCAGCAACTCCTGTGGGGCTCAGGTGACCAGGATCCTAGATGCCTCAGCCTTCATGGCAGGTGGGTCTCATTGACGGGACTGGGCAGATTCATGGCACCTCTGGATCCCATCCCAAGGCCTCAGCACCCTTAAGTCTAGTCCTGGGGTCCACATGCTTCTCAGTGACTTATCCAGGAGGCCCAGACCTCCCAGGGACTTATCTGGACACTCTGGCTTTTATCAGAGCCCTCTATGAGAGCCTAGCCTTCTTCACTGTGCAGATCCAGCAGCCAGACCTTGTGTGACCTATCTGGGATTCTGGTCATCCTGGGGGAAGGGGCTGCCTCAGGCTCCCATTTCTCCCTCAGTGGACTTGTCCCAGAGTCTTGATCTCCCCACAGACTAGCCCTCCTGAGTAATGGTCCCAGGGTCCTGGCCCTCCTGTGACCTGTCCAGCTGTATCCTCCTCAGTGACTGGCTCCAGGGTTGGCCCTTCCTAGGTGACCTGGAGTCATGGCACTCTCTGGATACTGCCAGATGCCCTGGTCCAACTCTCCTTGGTGACCCTTCCTGGGGTCCCAGCGATGCCTAGTGCCCTTTCGAGGGGTTGGACCCTCCTGGATGACCTGTCGTGGGGTCCTGACACTCTCGTGTGGGTCCTGCCCAATCCCAGGGGTAAACCCTCCTTGGTGACTGGCCCTCCCGGGGTCCAGCCCGGTTTGGGGTCCTGGCCCTCCTGGTGACCTTTCCCGGGTCTGGGTCTCAACCCTTCTCGGTGACCCTTCCCCGGGTCCAGCCTTCCCGGGGTCCGACCCTCGCCAGGGACTGCCAGCAGCTCCAGACTCCCCTAGCCTGCCCGACTGGGAAGCCCGGACGCGGGCCTTGGGGTCGGAGCCTTTCGGGCTGGCACCGGCCGAGGCCGCGGCCTGAGAAGCGGACGTCTGCGGGCCCGGGCAGGGCGGGGCGTACTCACTGACCTGCGGTCTCGGGTTGCTGGCGAGCGGGGCGCACGCGGAGGCCGAGCCGGGAGGAGGAGGGGGCGCCGCTCCCTCCGGTTCCCCCCCAAGAGGAGGAGGAAAAAAACCTGTCCGGAGTTTAAAACAAAGAGGCGGAAATGCCCGAACCCAGCCGAGCGCGGAGTCGGGGGCGCCGCGGTTGGAGCATGCGCAATTTGCTGCTAGGCTCCCACCCGGCTGCCGAGGCGGGGGTGGGGCTGGAAAGATGGGCGTGGTCAGAGAGCGCAGGCGCGTCAGAGCAGGGCTCCGCCCAGGGACTCGGCGAGGCGCGAGGGAGGGGCAGGGCCCATGGGGCGTGGTCAGTGGAGCGGCGGGGCGGGGCTGAGCTGAGGGAAGCCCGCGGCAAGTGGTCTGGGCTCGGGGGCCGATTCGCACCATGCAGGCTACTGCGCCCCGCCCGGCTCTTGCGGCCTGGGGTGGCTCCACTGGGCCGTCTGGCTTCTGCGTTGTTGCCCGTCCAGGAGCAGCCGGGTGTGTGTGTGTGGGGGGTGTACTACGAGCAGTCTCGCACAAGGCCCGGGGTGCAGGAATAGAGTGAGTTTGGGACTCCAGCTTGTAATGTCTGGAAGGGTCAACGGATGACCGACCCTCGCGGCCGCCCTCGTGGAGAAGTCCGCATCCCAATCCCGGGCTGAACTAGGTGTCCGGCGAGGGAGGAGAGTGGCTCAGGCCAGCCGCTGGGAGGGGCCTGAGAAGGGCCTAGGCATGCACCACGTGGTTGAGTTGTTGGGTGTTTACCCGCTACAGATTGCTGAGATGTGACCACAGACGAAGTCTCAAGGCGTTTCGCTTCGAAGGGTAGCAGTAGAGCGGGGTGGGGGTGGGGCGAGAGGGCTTTTAGGGTAGGATCTCTCGCTTGTGTGGCCCAAGTGGGCGTTGGGAGTGACCAGCGCTGGAGAGAGATGAGGGTTTGGGGGACTCGGGTCCGGTGGGGCGGCAGGCCCTCTGCTGGAGCCTGGACAGCCTTTCGGGGTCGGGGGTGGTAGTCCCCGATGCAGGGACTAGGAGAGGTGGGAGGCCTGAGGGTCGATGTCTGGACTGACCCAGGAGGATGGGGACCCGGCATGCGCCCAGGTGAAGCCGCAGACCCGACGTCTGCCACTGGCTGCTCTCCTCAATGACCTCATCTTGCCCTAATACCCTAGACCTCCACTCTGAACCCCAGGCGTCTGTGTCCAGCTGCCCAGCCACGTTTCTGTTGGAATGACTCTGTGGGGCCCAACTCCACATAGCAGAAGGGCAGCTCTCTGGCCCCAGGAAGTCTGCTGTCATCACAGCCCCCGCCCCCAGCTGCAGCTAGTCCTGGGGTCCTCCTCCCCTTCTTCCTCTCAGGCACAGCTGAGCTGACCGCTCAGAATCTGGTGGCCACGTCTGCCAACCTCCATCTTCTCACCCTAAGTTATCAAATAGCCTCCAAACTATCTTCCGGGCTTTTCCTGGACTCCAAGTCTATTTTCAACACAAAATAGCACCTTATAAAACGATATTCAGGACATATCCCTCTTCTGCTTAGAATCCTCTGAGGACTTCACTTAATGCCAAAGCCTGAGAGTGGGGTGAGCACAGAGGCTGGGAGAAGGGGGAGATGCTGAAAAGAAGTGTTGTCTTGGTGTAATCTCACCTACATATGCATGGATAGTGTCCACACTTAGCAAAGTGCACACCTTAGGTATGTGCACTTACCCTTCTGTAAAGCTAACCAATTCTGTCAACCTAAAATTGCTCTTAAAAAATCTATTTATTTTAAAAAGCAAATAACTAATAAATGTAATAAAAGAATGTAAAACTAACATTTTGAAAAGTATAAATCATTGAGAGAGATTAAAGAAGACCTAAATAGGGCAGTGCCTGTGGCTCAGTGGGTAGAGCGCCGGTGCCACATACCAAGGGTGACAGGTTTGAACCTGGCCCGGGCCAAACTGCAACAACAACACAAAAATAGCCTGGCATTGTGGCAGGCATCTGTAGTCCAGCTACTTGGGAGACTGAGGCAAGAGAATCGCCTAAGCCCAGGAGTTGGAGGTTGCTGTGAGTTGTGACACCAGAGCACTCTACCAAGGGCGATTAAAAAAAAAAAGGCCCAAATAAAGGGAAAGACATCCCACATTATCATTAGGATGTCGTGACTTCCCAAACTGATCACCCAAGGCAACCCAAGTCAAAGTCATAGCTGGCTTTTTTGCAGAAATTGACAAACAAATTATAAAATTTATGTGGAAGTTAAAGGGAACCAGAATACGCAAAACAATCTTTAAAAAAATAAAGTCAGCAGACTCCTATTTCTCAATTTTAAAACTTACTGCAGGCTCAAGGCCTTCAGCTCAGCAGCTAGGGCACCAGCCACATACACCAGAGCTGGCAGGTTTGAATCCAGCCTGGGCCTATCAAACAACAGTGACAACTACAACCAAAAAATAGCTGGGCCTTGTGGTGGGTGCCTGTAGTCCCAGGTACTTTGGAGAATGAGTTAAAAGAATCTCTTAAACCCAAGAGTTTGAGGTTGCTGTGAGATGTGACACCCCAGCACTCTACCAAGGGTGACATAGTGGACATAGTGAAACTCAAAAACAAACAAAAAAAAACTTACTACAAAGCTACCGTAATCAAGACTGGTACCAACATAAAGGACATAAATCAATAGAATAGAGTTGAGAAATTTCACTCCTAGGTATGGAGCTTATGGAACTTAGAGAAATGAAACCAAACATACAAAACCTGGCATGTGTACTTACAGTGACAGTGTATATAATAGCCTCAAAGTAGAAATAACTCTAATGTCAAACAACTCATGAATGAATAAATAAAAGGTAGTATATCCATACAACAAAATATTTGCAGTAAAAAGGAAGTACTAGTTAATAAATGCTACATACAACATAGATGTACCTTAAAAACATTGGTACGTGAAAGAAACCAGTCACAAAAGACCAGATATTATATAATTCTATTTATGTAAAATGTCCATAATAGGCCAATCAATAGAGATAGAAATCATCTTAATAGTTTCCAGGGGCTGGGGGGTTGGAGGAAACAGGGAGACACAGCTAATGAACATTGGGTTTCATTTTGGAGTGATGAAATGTTCTAAAATTGACTGTGATGGTGGTTGCATATATTTGTGAATACACCAAAATCTATTGTACACTTTAAATGGGCAATGTGCATGGTTTGTGAGTTATATCTGAATAAACCTGTTATTTAAAAACGAAACCATAAAATACTTAACATTGATTAGAAATGAAAGTGCTGTGTGTTTATCCCCATGAGAAAAATATAAAATTAGATAACTAACTTATGCCATAAATATACATATAGATACAAATAATCATTTCACACCAAGAGAGATATCCATCTCAAAAAAAGGTACTCTTTCCCCACAATACACACCAAGAAATGAAATTTGCATTTCATACCATATACAAAATATCAGACATAGCACACATATACACACATAAAAAATCCCCTTTCCCAGAAAAATTGGGCAACTATTCCATAACATACACACAAAATAGGCCACACAATGCTCAATAATGTTAGATGCTAATTTCACACCATTAGAGAAGAGAAATTAGACACCTATCCCGCACCACACACACTAATATACACAACCTCTGTTCCACCTCAGGCCATCCCACTATAAGCTACACCACCTAAATTAGACATCCATCTCAAAGTATTCAAGCAAATTAGACCCTGTTGGGAGGCAATTCTCCATTAATATCTCATGTCTCTGCATGGTCCAGATTCTCAGAAAAAAAGCCATTTACAGCCAAGTTGAGGATGTTTGTCTAGGAGACATGCTAGGATAGTGAAGCTTAAGAAGTCTCCCTCTAAAAAGAAAGAATAAAAAATAAAACGAAATGAAACAAAAAAGACAAAGTCTCCCTGGAGACTTTCCCCTGTAGAAAGAGAAGAGAGCTGTCCTCCTTCCCTGGAGAAGGTTTACTTACATTCCAGGGTAGGGATCAAGTTTCTCTCTCTTTGGAAGGTAGGATGAGGAGGTCACCAGAAGATCCATATAAACTGAGAGTTTCCTAGTTTCAGGGTCTTCTGAAATGCACTCCCCTGCATCTGCCACCTGCATTGCCCTGTGGAGACTGGGCTGAGGGATCAGGACAAGATTGGCAGCTGCCAATGTGGTTTGCTGCTTCTGCTAAGTGGTAAATGCCTTGTCTCTGACCAAGGGTCTCATATTTCCTGTCACACACACATGAAACCGTGGCAAGCTAACTTGTTAACTTGTGAGTACAACAAAATCTCAGACCTTCCTGCTTAACACATACTAATTTTATACCCCTCAAAGTAGACACCCATCTACTACATCTGCCTGCACACACAAAAAATTAGATATCCACAGTGGCGCCTGTAGCTCAAAGGAGTACGGCGCTGGCCCCACATACCAGAGGTGGTGGGTTCAAACCCAGCCCTGGACAAAAAAATCCTGCAAAAGTAAATAAATAAATAATAAATAAAATAAAAATACAGTTATTATAAAAAAATTAGATATCCATTTATCCCATATAGACAAAAAAAATTTCATACCACATGTATGTATACACATGTATGTATACACAAAAGACAAAGACCCATCTCACACCATTTATGCAAAAAAAAATCTATCTCATATCACACACACCAAGCAGTGTACAGCGTTATAAATACGACACGAACATACCAATCTCATACCAGATACACATAAAACAGATGAGTGGTAGGCCCTACGCAAAAGAACTAGATACCTACCACACGCAAACAGAAATAACCCATTTCACATTATGTATACATGACAGTAGATACCTAATCACACAATATAAAAAATATTAGATAACTAAACCCTATGTACACAAAAACTAGATAATCTTTTTTTTTTTTTTTTGAGACAGAGCCTCAAGCTGTCCCCCTGGATAGAGTGCCGTGGCATTACAGCTCACAGCAACCTCCAACTCCTGGGCTCAAGCGAGTCTCCTGCCTCTGCCTCCGCCTCCCAAGTAGCTGGGACCACAGGCGCTCGCCACAACGCCCGGCTATTTTTGCAGCCGTCATTGTTGTTTGGCGGGTCTGGGCTGGGGATTCGAACCCGCCACCTTAGGTGTACGTGGCTGGCACCTTAGCTGGTTGAGCTATAGGCGCCGAGACTAGATAATCTTTTC